GTCCCACAATGCCATGGAGCTGCTACTGGACCGTCAGCGGCAGGCCAAACGTGGTAGGGGGCCTTCTGCAGAGACCACTCAACGCAGAAGCAAACACTGTATCGCCTGCTCAACGTACTCTTCTCTGAAGAGTTTTTCGTGAAATTCATCACATCCGGTGATGCACTTACACGGCGTGAGCTAGATGAGGGTGGTCGGGAGTTCTGGGAGCAGGTGGTCGAAGCTTTCAGTACATTTAACGATGACTTCGACCGTCTTGTGTCTCCAGACTCGTTGTTTCAGAGGTGCTAACACCGGCCAGAGCTCGAATTGCATGATGAGAGCCCCCAGCGAGCCATGATATAGTCATTTGTACCTTGTTTACTGGCGTTACTGGTCCGATACCAGTTCTGTTCCGTGACTTCAATTGATCGCGTTCTAAGACAGGCTTTAGAGATTCAACGAGCCGCTCGAATGCTATAACATACATTCTTTAATAACGATCGAATTGTCCTTCTTGCACTAGTCGATCTCGATGCGGCTCCCACTCCAAACGTTTGTGTGAAACAACGTTCGATCTACGTCGACGACGTAATTCGCTCACAGCAACTACAACGGCGAGAAAGACCACAATAAAAGATATACTTTCATTGTCTTTCTCTTGAATGGTGCCCGTGACCCCTGCTCCCAAAGTGAGTGATGATCCCAATTTGGGATCATCGATTGTAGCTAAAAATAAACATATGTATTGTTTAGCCAATCAGGTATCGAGTTTGTAGATCATGATTCGATGATGATCCCGTTAGGAACCGGCCATAGGCCGGTTCCTAACGGGATCATCATCGGCCGGTTCCTCAACGAATGGGGGGCAGGGGTTCCGAAAAGGTTATTTTAATTAAATATAATTTTTATTTGCAGTAAAATAATTTATTTTCGAGCACCCATTTCAAAATCAAATAATTTATTCCGCGCTCTCTCCAGGCAATAACGTGAGGCTTCCACCAACTAGACGAGTATCAGCCCACTGTACATTGCATGCAATAGCACCAATTATTTTTGCACCCGTGGTGCTCCAAGCACTTAAAGTTATTTTATTGCTGTTTTGCCAGTCTCAATAAAAATAACATTTTCGGAACCGGGCGAAGACCTTCCGGCGGTGTACTAGAGCAAAAACACTACTTTGAGTCATACCCGATACTGGAGACAGATGAGCGGCTCGCCCAGTAATGTAGCAGATTAATTTACTGCAGCCACTTTAAGACATCAACTATTGCGTTGCGTTGAGAGCCTCGTCTGCTAAACTAAATTTACTGTTGGACATCTTAATGACATTCCTTCGTTCATAAGTGTCCACTGCGAACCTCTGCCTAGAGCTTCTGCCGATCTACGTTTTCTCCGATGTCTGAGTCATTGTGAACAATGTCCAGGAAAATTTTGACGACCTCGTCGAAGCCATACCGTGGCTCGTCACCATTCATGAGATCCTGTAGCCATCGCTGTTCGATCACCGGAAGGAGTTTTTCTAGTCGCTCTGTGGTGCAGTGCGGGTCGCGCTTCTTGCCAGGTTCCAGCACTACGCCCTGCTCGCGCAGTTTAGCATTGCGAATCAAAGTCTGCACTTTGATTCGGACCACTTGGATCAGCAGGTCCTTGTCCACTTGGATCGGCGGAATCTGCACGTCCTCGACTCGAGGACGAGAGGCGTCTTCCACGTTGTTGAGTCGACTGCTGTCGCTCCTCGGACGCTTGCGGCCGGAGTGCTCCAGCTTGACGACGTCTTCGGGCAAGTCCGTCACTGACGGCGTCAGGGTCATGAGCAATTAAGCAATGACCAGACACGGTGGTGCCCGCCAGCTGGACAGCAGAATGACGACTGAACTGACTTGCAGTGCACAGTGACAGACGAAGCTCACTTCGTCGACTTGACATGTATCGTCATCGATTTGGAGTGGCGTACGGTACCTTGATTTTGGCGCATTCACCTAATGTGCAGGAAGCCAATAACGCAGCTCGTAAAACATACTTTCTTCTCATACAGGAAAACTTGACCAATGAAAAGATCGCCGCAGCACGGAGATTTTCAACGCACTAACACCTAAATCTTGCTAGTTTTGACAAAATTCTTAACAATCAGAACAAATGGTTTTTTGAAAAGTAATTTAAGAGGAAAACTTGACCAATTAAAAGCACGGAAATTTTCAAGTTTCTGACACCTAAATCTTGAGCACAAACTCTAGCTTGACAAAATTCTTAGCAATCAGAACAATTGATTTTTATATAATAATTAAGTTTAAGAAAACTAAGTTCTCAACCCCGCCCGTTGAAACAGCTGCATTATATTAAAAAATATCATTGACAATTCATTTTATTTGGACAGCATCAATACGTAGGTTGCCTAGAGCAGATACCTTCTTCTTCACCAAGTTCTAGGCTAGGAAAACCTTAGAGAGCGCTGTAATACATTCAGCGGTACCGGTTTAATTAACGGAAATGCTACAGTCCATGCGTCAAATCCGCTTATTTTCCATGTAATACTCCATGTAATGTCCATGATGTAAAATATTTTCATTCGGTAATTTATAAAAACAACCCAGTCGTTGAGTGCAATTATTGTCCAACTCTCATCCGTGTATTGTCCACGAAGTGATCTATGTAGTTAATACCGGTACAATACTGTATACCGGTAGCTGTACCAATCACACCAGCCTTTCATTTGCTTTTCAAACCCAAACTCGCCCCCCTTCGAGCATTGCCGCCGCCGCCGCTCCGTTACCTGCACGCCGCAGCCTACGTCACGAGATCAACCGTTGCTGCAATCGCCGGCCATGTCGCTCAGTCTACCCGCTTCCGCGACGTCTGAGGTGCGTTATCTTGCTGTTTGTGGTCTCTGTGAACGTGTTTCTAACCGTGCGTTATCTATTTGTAAATACAGGGTGGATCGTCCGACTCCTCTTCAGATATCGACACCACGGCTTCCGCAGCCTCCGGCGCGGCTGCAAACTCGGACGACGCCTCGCCTGACACGGACGATTTCAAGCGTCCATGTATTGTCCAGGTCGTAGACTCTCCCTCCCTTGTGGAGGGCCCCGCAGACGTGACGTATCCGAGCTGGTCGGCGTGGAATGAGTATTTGAAGGCTTACTCGGTAAAGTCCCGCCAGGTCATCCGCATCCAGTCAACGCTTAGTTGCGTATTGAGAAACAAGCGGCTGGGTTCAAACAGCGGCAGCAAAGCAGGGAATGGATGTTCCGTACGTACCAGAGACGTGGGGTGCTTACCAACGCACATAGATCTGCACACATGGCTGGCTAGCAAAAGACAGGAGCAGCGGATTGCGAACCAAGCACTTCGTCCGAGGATGCGGTTGTCCATTTCGATTTGTGGTGCAGCTCGTGCAAGTTGACGGCTTATGCTGCCTTCGCGTGAAGAACGGTGTGTACCAGCACAACCATGCGGTGGGGACAGCGCAGTTCAAGACGTACGCGGAGAACCGTAGGTTGGACGACACGGACACGAAGGATGCTGTGGACAGCATGGTGATGTACGGTAGAAAGCGCGCACGCATCTATGAGTATCTTCTGGGGAGAGGCGAGAACCTCGTCAAGAAGGATGTGGACAACATTGTGCAACGTGTTAAAGCAGAGATAAGAGGAGGGTTGAATGACGACGACGCTTGCGCCGCAACTCTCGCGGAATTCGCAGCTATTGACGGTAACGTAGTCACGGTGGACGAAACTGATGCGGGACACTCTGGTGTGATCAGTATGACTTCCAGACATATGCGCGACATGGTTACTAGGTTTCCAGAGCTTTTGCTTGTGGACTGTACCCACAAAACGAATCGGTAAGTCCTCCCATGTATTGTGCAATTATTTATCCATGTATTGTCCATGCTTATTTTAATGTCATGCCCATGTATTGTGCGATTCTTGTCCATGTAATGTGCATTAGATACAACTACCAGCTTTGTACCTTCATGATGATAGACGACAATGGGAGTGGGCAGCCTGTACAACAGTCTTTGCTCGAACGAAACGCCGATTGGCAGATGTCCCGAGCGCTGGATCATCTATTTCGGATTGACGATAAGATTGGCGACAAGGTTCAAGTTATAATGGTCGACAAAGATCTGAATGAGATCCGCGTGTTGCGTCGGTACTTCCCTAAGTCGCGCGTGTTGATTTGCGTCTTTCACGTCATCAAATATCTCCGCACAGCGTCCAGGAAGCCAGAATATGGTAAACTTTCGTCGGACGATCACGACGCCATCGACGCATTAGTCCACAACATGGTATATGTCTTAAGTTCAGAGATCTACGAGACCAATTGGACCTCCATGAAGGCACTTTGCACTAGGACTGGATATATGGCATTTTACAACTACATGGATGAAAACTGGAACACTTGTACGGAGATGTGGGTCATGTACCAACGCTCACGGTTGGCACATTTGCGCGTCCACACGAACAACCATTTAGAGAATTGGTTTGGGCATTTTAAGGACGGGGTAAACTCCAACATGACCATGACGGACACCGTGAAGGCCCTTGTGGGTGCTGATGCCAGGACTTCCAGTGAATACGTGTTCGACAAGACTAGGATCGGGTTACGTGTCAACCGCAACTACGACGAGGAGATGTGCCAAGTTTTGCGCTTTACGACGCATTTCGTAGCAACACACGTGGAGAAGGAGTACGTAATGGCATGTTCGAAGGTCGACAAGTTCAATTTCGACTTAAAGTCAAATGCAGGCTTCGTGGAGGTGACGGGTAAACACAAGACGCATGCTGTGGATTTGAAAACGTGGAGCTGCACTTGCTCGTTTGCTTCTGCAATGCGTCTGCCTTGTCAACACGCGATCGCGTTTCGGAAGTGGAGTAACGCCCCAGGAAGCGTAATACCGCTGAGTTGCATCGATGAAAGGTGGGTTAACTCACAATTTATCCACGTATAAGCCGTGAGTTGTCCATGTAATATCCAATATTGATGTTGTACTGAGGGTCTGACATGTCATTCATTTAGATGGTTACATCCTGTTCTGCCACTCCAAACCAAGTACAACAACGCGGGTAGCAAGAAAGCCAAGTACACTAGAGAGAGTGCGCCTGTGCTGAATGAAAACGCGTTCTACCTACTTCCACCCAAACTGTTGGACAAGTGCGTTGCCGTGCTGCCTGTGAGCAACACCAATGAAAACAGCCATCGATGTACTCGCCCAGAGTCAAACTACACAAAAAGACGAAGAAACATCTACAATACCTGGACAAATCATGGACAGCAACGGACAAAACCCGGAGATCGAGTGTGTCTACATCGCGGGTATCGGAACATTTTCACGCGAACAGATTGAGGCCATGGCATACTTAGCAAACGTGAAGCGTTCGTGTGATGATGGAATGGCGTTTACCAAATGGTTAACACAGGATGCAGCCAGCGCCATACCAGCAGCACAACAATCGACACTTCAGAGCATGGCAGAGGCCATTGCTCTCGCCTATCCCCAAGATACCATCCCAATTGACGGCAA